CTTTCCCACTTTTAACTGCTTAATAGCTAAACCAATTTCCTCTGAGGTAATTGAACAATTCATCATAATTTGTTGTTCATTAGAAAGTTTAGGAAAATGTGCAGATTGTAAATACTTTTCTACTTCTGCAACATGTATATTATCACTAGCATATAATTTTGTATAAAAATCTAAAAAACTCTTTTTAATCAAATTATATTGAAAAACTTCAGTACCTTTATATTTTACTTTCTCTATAATTCTTGCTTTCCGTTTCTTACGTAATTGATAAGCTAACCACCTCCCAGGCTTATTTGCATTACAAAAAGTATTATATTTCATATAACGCAAATTTGTCACCACCTGATCTGCCATCAACATATTAAATTGTGCCCTGAGCGTATTTATAGCAACCTTTAACCTATTATCCGTCAGATTCAAAGCAAAGGCTTCTTCTTTTAATTTAATCTCTTCTGCTAATTCTTTACGTTTTTGTGTCAAGTTGCCCCTAAAAACATTATTCATGTGAATCAAAATTCCCCACATATAAGCTTTACTAGCATCCCACACCATAGACATTGATGTTCCCTTGTTCATATTTAAAACAAAAAAAATCCTTCAAATGTTCTTTACATTTTTGTACAAACTCCTCCTGAGTGAACAAATTCTCATTCAATCTCCAGGATCTTCTATTTCCATCTTCCACAAAAAACTCCAACCACACAGGGCTATGATCCGACAATGTCCTAGGAAAAATCTTAACCTTCTTAACCCTAGAAAAAAGATCATTGGAAATTAAAATAAAATCAATCCTTGAAAATGATTGATGTCTGTCCGAATAGAAAGTGTAATCTCTGTCATTTATATTCCTTTCATGCCAAACATCAATAAATTCCAGCTCATCTCTCATATCAAAAAATGCTTTAGATAACTTAGATTGAGTAAGAGTTTTGAAAGTATCCTTTTTATCCTTTCTTGAATCCAAAACTCCATTCCAATCTCCCATCATAATTACAGATTTGTAATCCAACTGAGTTATTTTTCCATGCAAAAACTTATAGAATTGCTTCTGATGTTGATTAGGGGCATATAATCCAACAATAAGAAATTTCTTGCCTCGTAGTAGTAAATCTATAAAAACATATCTTCCTTGAGGATCAGATTCTATTAATTCAGCTGAAAAATTTTTCTTCACATAAATTACAACACCCTCTTTTTTCCCTGGAGCTGGAGCCATAAAATGTGATCCCAAACAATAATTAGCCAAATATTTAGAATCCTTTAAAGTTATATGAGTTTCTTGCAAACATATTATGTCATTTTTATATTGCTTCAGGTAATGAAAAACTTTTTTCCTTTTCTGCGGTGAGTTCAAGCCATTAACATTCCATGTCAGGAGCTTTGCCATCCCTACAGACCTGAAGCCTCTGAAGCATAGCTTGAAGATTAATTGTTGAAGATCTTTTTGGTCTTGCTCCTCCCACAGATTCTGTAGTAGTAGTAGTAGTAGTACCTACTGTTGTTTCACTATTCTTCTGCTGCTTCTCTCTACGTTTATACGCAGCTCTTGTCATCCTTTGTTCTTTTATCTCCAAATTCTGTACAGCGGATTGACCTTGTACTTCTCTAACAATCAATGAAGTTGCTCCTCCAATTATCTGCTCTTCTTCAATTTTACTAGCTTGTAAAGATGAGGAGGAACTTGCCTTCAAAACAGAATTATAAAATTCTTCTGCCTTTGAAACTGTAGTTAATCTATAACACTTTTCTTCATAAATCACAGCTATTCCAGTTGGAATCTCCCATCTAAACTGAATTTGACGACGTTTTAACTCCTCAGATAGAAAAGCAAAATCTTTTCTTCTTCTTCAAATTTTTGGAGGTATCTCTTTTAAAATCATAACATCTTGAGCTGCAATTTGGAACCTCTGTTTATAAAAAGCCTGTAAAATTTCATTACATATAGATCTTCTTGAAAAGTAGATAACCACATCTCTGGGTAAATTTCTTTGTCTGGCAACCCATAAATTAACTCTGAAGATTTTTTCTATCTCATTCCGAATTTCCTCCAGTTTCCAACCCAGATTAAAAGTGATATCTTTAATAATTACCTCCTTTAAATCTTCTTGTTGATTTTCTTTCATCCCTCTAATATGCAGCGCAAATTCCATGTCTCTATACTGTGAAATAATTAATTCATCTTGTGTCATATCTATCTTGTTCTCAACTTCTTCAACTCTACTTTCCAATCTTGCTGCGTTTTCAGTCACCTCTTCCATTTTGTCATCAATTCTCTCAATATGCATGGCTAAACCTTGAAATGCTAAAATTATATCTTCCCTCAATTCTTTATTTTTTTCCTCCAATAGTTCTGCCATAACAGCCCTCTCTGAAGCCATTTTACAATCCAAAAGATCAGCTACCTCCTCTTTAATATCCAAAGCATTCTTTTTTAAAGCTTCTTGTAAATCTTTAAGTGAAATTGCAGGTGGGGGAGAAGGAGGAGGTGTCTTTGGCTTAGGCTGAGAGATAGTCTGAGTCTGAGTCAATGGAGAGGAAATAGAGGCTTTAGGCACCAAAGAAGCCAAACATTTTGAAGCCATCCTTATAACTTTACAATCTTAGGATTCCTGCCTCTATACACAAACTGTAACAATTTCAATAGGCTAAGTCCATTACTCTGAAGAAACTTTGTTGCAAAAGTCAGAGAAAGTGAAAGTCTTCAAACAAAGACAGAGAATTCCTCCACCATTTTCCCCCTTTTTTCTTCCCCTTCCACGCCCTTCTTGTTAAAATACTAATTAGGGAAGATATTAATTTTTGAGTTAAGGTTGAAATACAAAATCAAAATATTATTTCTCCTGTACTGCTCCATCTGCTTCTGAGTTTACTCACAATTCCTCTTGATTTAGCAGAGGTGTAGGCAGCATCTTGCTCCGTTCTCCCATTCCAGAGAACAAAGGCATCCCAGGATGCGGAGTAGTCCCAGACTCCGAAGGAGCTCTCACTCTTCGTCTCTCAGAGTATATTTGGGTTTTGAGCAGGAAAGAACCTACCACATTTGTCCTTTTTTATTTCATTTCCAAGATTAGTGACTAATATCTCAAAGATGCTTTACTTCTGCTTCTTTATTTAAATTCCCCACTATCTGCCGCTTGTCTCTTTCATCGTCTGCAAGCAAACCAAATGCAACTTCCATTTTTAACTCTTGTATATAAGTGTCAGCCTTTGAGGTTGTCCAGACAAAAAGCACACTCAGTAATACTAGCTCTAACTTATTATAAGATTACATTAACAGAATCTTGCAAGTCTGAAAGTATATCTCTCCCTTCTCCCTCACCTTTACAGTCCAAGGAAGGTACCTTCTGAGACATTCCCAATTCTTCTGTGGACTCAGCTGCTGTTCCATGTATCTCGGTGTATACTTTTGCTGGCCACATGACCATGTAATTGTCTTCAGACTATGCTGGCTTCCTTGACTAAGCAACAAAGATAACACTGCTCCCTAGAGTCAGACACAACTGGATAGGGGAAATCTTTACCTTTACCTCCCCCCCCCCAGTTTGTGGCTTTTCCACCCATCTCCCAAGGCCATTCCCACCTGCAATTACAGTAACCATGGAACAGCATTTCTCTGTTCAATGTCCATGTTTTATAACATTTGATTTAATGTATGTAATGACTCCCTTGGATGATTCCCCAGATACCTCTTTAGATATCAGCTTGCAGGAGGATGAGCTGATCCCTGGCATGTCAGAAACTGAGTTGATTGATGGCTATGAATGACCATCCAGAAGGGATTTGGCTAAGGCTCCAGCTGGGAAAATCTTGTAGTTGCAGACACCCAGCAAAGAGGAGGAACTGCCTTATGCATCTGATCTGAGAAGAGCAGAGAAAAGGCAGGAGCAGAAAAGGTCAGCCAGACTACTCAAGAGGAGAAAGCCCTGACTGTCTTGATGGGCTGCACTGGGAGCTGATTATTTATTATTACAGCAGACAGAGGGAGGTGTTGCTGGGAACAATGTGTTGTTTCATAGCTATGTGTTTTCTGATCATTGTGATTCCTGCTTCACTCTGGATTGACACAGTGTTTGGAATTGAATCATACCTTGAAAATTCTGGACTTTTCTTGCCTTGTGAGCTCTCCTGTGTGTGGATTTAAGTTTCCCTGGTGTATTTAAGTTGGTCTGGTGGAGTTATTCTGTTTGAGAAACTTTTAAGTGCTTTTTGGACTATTTGGCCATTGTAATGTTGACTAACCTTAGTCTGTTTGTGGCTGGACTTAATGGGAAAATTCTGGGTTTTGCTGAAGGGAATTGCTGGGGAATATTAATATTAATAAACTCACTAAACTCACTAAACCACAGTGAGTGAGTGAGCCGGTCAGCACAGTGTAGCCGAACTGTGTTTGCTGTTTTAACCCATATATATTATTGTTGTTTTGCAATTTATACACCAGTTTTTTTTCCTGGTTCTTCCAAACCTGGTGACTAGCATAAATAAATATCTTCCCTCAGATCACATAAAAAAAGCCTATCTTAATATCTAAGTGCTCCATCTGTAGTTTTCTAACTGGTCCTACACTAAATGGATGCTTGCGTCTTTAACTGCATGCACAAAACTATCACAGTCCTCTTCATGATTTTGTATTCAGCATTTTGTTAACCCAGATTTGTGGTGTAGCATATAACTATGAGTATCATGATGTAGCCTGTTATGTTTGGTGATAGGTGAGGCATTGACAAAGCAGCAGGTGCAACAACAACTCTTTATTTAAGGTTTAAACAGAAGCCTGGATAACTGCCGGTCCATCCCTATTTATACACTCAGAAACTAGGTGGCGGCCAATAGGATTCAAGTATTAGTTCCTGCTTTAACACAAGTTAATTAGCAAGTAGACAGAAAGTCTGGCACTTAACTGACAGAGTCTTATGATCATTTTTTCAATATTTCCAAGTAATTCACATCAATATATTACATAGCCTATGGCTTTCTGGCCTTTTGGTAGTTCTGTGGGATTGGGCACATCCTTCCTATAGTGGTATTGCACATTAATGTCTGGTGGGATTCCTTTATTAGATTTTAGGGATATTTTAGATTTTAATTCTGTTTCTTGTTCTTACAATATGGCAGCAGCCCCTTCTGAATCATAGCTCTGGGTGCTACTAGGTGGTTTGGACCAGAATCCGAATCCTGCAACTCATTTTGGGTTATCTTTTCAGAATTATTTCTTCATTAAAATAATAACCCTATCTGTATTTACTTATCCAGGATCTGAATCTAAAACCTGTTAAGCTTTTGCTCCAAATGTGCCATTTAATTTCTTTTCTTTTTCTTTAGGGATATGTGCATAACACTTGCCACCAAATGCCTTTAACTCTGACAGAGTAGACTTGTTCCCCTTCTATATGGAGTTTTCCTTTCGTTTTGCAGACTGGCTTTGTGAAATGTGCTTCTCCCCAAAACTTATCTAGGAAGTTTGCATTCAGCAGAAGGCATATCAATATGTTTAGCAAACTTTTATTCTTTTCTACTGCTACCCCATTTTATTAGTACTATAGCTTAGTATTTCTGCTATGATGGGCATCCAAATTAAAAAAAAGGAAACCTCTTGATGGTCTATGAGAATTTAATTTGTTTCTCAATTACAGAGGAATAAGGTAAAAAATTTAGAGGAAATGGGAACAGTTTGAAGAAGTGAGTTAATGTAAATACCATTTAGGGAAACAGTGTTCAGTCAGATTGCAAATATTTCTTCAACTAACTAATCAGCTCAGCTGCATTAAGACTTTAAGGTGTGTTTTTAAATTGTCATCATACAACATGCTTTCTCTGTATATCACTGCTGAAGAATCATGCATAACTTTTCATTATCTCAATGATACGCATGTACATAATCTCAGTGGCATCCAGTCCCCAAATGTAATCCAGATGTTGCCATTCAGGAACATGTTGGTGATAAATGACGTTACTAAGCCGCGATATTAATGCCTCGACATCTCTTATGTTCACAAATAAGTCATTTCCACCAGACCAGAGTGCAATGGGTATTTTTATATCTTCTATCTTGTATACAGGAGGAATAATCTGGGAAGAAAAGCAACAAACCTAATTAGTCAAAAACTGCTCGGGAAAAGATACAACATATAAAATATTGCAAATTACCACTTTAAAAAAAGTCAGTGAGCAAGCAAAGTAGTAGGACTTCCTAGAACTCAGTGCAAACACCAAACCTGTAATGAAACTGAGTTTCTCTCTCTCTCTCTCTCTCTCTCTCTCTCTCTCTCTCTCTCTCTTTCTCTTTCTCTCTCTCTCTCTCTCTCTCTTTCTCTCTCTTTCTCTTTCTCTCTCTCTGTGTGTGTTAGACATGTTTTTTTTAAACTCTGATGTTTGCCTTCAATGCATAGCTGATCAGCTCAGAGCCCCAAAAAGGGCAGGACATTCTGCCATTGGTCTAAAAGAGATCATGCTAGCTTAAATTAGTGATGCAATTCCTGGTGTAAAGAAGCCCTGGTGGCACAGTAGTTAAAGTGCAATATATTGCAGGCAAACTCTTCCCGTAGCCAGGAGTTTGATTCTGAATGGGCTCAAGGTTGACTCACCCTCCCATCCTTCTGAGGCTGGTAAAACAAAGACTCAGATTGTTGGGAGCAATTTGCAAGTAATGCTTCTACATTGCAAACCACCCAGAGAGTCTATAAAGCTCTACAGGGTGGTATATAAGTCTAAATTACATTTAGGTGTTGACTGTCTTCAGACTGGGAAGGTAAGAAATATTTCTTTACATTTACAGTCACTTTGATACACTTTCCTTATTTTGCTCAACCTTAGCCTGCAAAATTTGAAACAAAGTGGAAAAAAATTCTACCCACCTACAACACATCTAACAGGGAAAGCATTCTGATCTAACAGCTACAAACATATTTCACAGGAAAAATGTTTTATTTTCATACCTGGTTATACTTCTCCATATTCTTTTCCTTAGTGCCATAGTCGTATGCTTGAAACCCTTTTTTATTATGGATCTGTAATCAATAGTATGTAATTACAGAACTGAGTAAAATATAACCATCATTTTGATAACACGACACCACTGCTATACAAGCTACATTGGCTTCCAGATGCAACTCAAGGTCCTGGTTGTCATCTTTAAAACTCCTCATGGCTTAGGAATGAGCTACTTATGGACCGTCTCTCCCCAGTGGTCTCTATCTGTCCCATCCAGCAAGAGATTATGCCTGGGTACCATCAGCTGTGGGCTGGATTGGTCCCATCCATGCTGGGCTTCTGCAAGACCTTGAAAACCTGGTTTGATGCCCAAGACTGGAGAGAGAGAGAGAGAGAGAGAGAGAGAGAGAGAGAGAGAGAGAGAGAGAGAGAGAGAGAGAGACTTTTTGTATACTATATGTGACTTTAGTCAGTTTAGTACAGAAAGTGTGTATACAGATGGGAAAATCTGTAAAGGAAATAAATAAATTCATATGTATCAAAGCAATATTACTCACACTTGAATCTCAACAAAATAAAAGGACAATTTATTCTAATGCAACCATAACTTAAAGGACTTAGGCTAGTGATAGCCTACAGTATTCAAGCAGTCACAATATCTATTTCAGCAATTTTATAACAATATGATCATCCCAATATTTCCAACTTACAGTTATAGTTACTTCAATAGCAATATTAGATTTAATTTTTATAATTTTCCAAAATGGAACTTAGAAAATTTTCTGTTTAAAAAACTTTGAAACATGCTTTATGTAGAAAGTGCTGTATACAGGCAGTCCCCAATTTAAGAACAAGTTCAATTAAGTCTGTCCTTAGCTCAAATTTGTATGTAACCCAGAACAATATTACTGTTTAATTCTGTATAAGTAATATTATTTAATGAAATTGAAGCATTGTGTATTTATCCTGAATCATTGTGTGTTTAACTTGAATTTTGCTAGGATAAGCTCCGTTCTTAACTATGGTTCATCCTTAAAGTAGGACAGACTTAAGCTGGAGACTTTCTATAAAAACAATAAAGATTGCAGCATAAACAGAAAAACTATATACTAACATCATATGCTGAATGAGCTGAATGTAGTAGTTCCAGATATTACAAGCTGCAGATTATTATCCCCAAAGGAGACAGTTTTGAGTTATGTTACAAACCTTACAGTTTTAGGTTGCTTTCTCTGATCTAGTGCTCTTCTTCTTAGCCAATTTTTTTTACTTTAGTCAGTTTTATTTATAGTTAATGTTTTATCAATTTTTAATTTTTTTAAAAAATCCTTCAACCTGAAATGCATCTGTGGATTGAGTTGTTTTAGACATTCAATTTGTTTTCTCCCTTTCTGCCACTAGATGATCATGAATGGATCTCCTTAGGTATGATTTAATTATATCAATGGAATTTATAAATTATATAATTATATATTTGTTTAGTTGATTTCTTTGTCCTGACTCATTCTATTCTAACTCATTCTATTTGTGTCTAGTATTGCTGGTATAATGGGTGAATATGTATGGATGTGATTTATTAGGTTGTATTTTAATTAGGATAGTCCCTGGTGCTGGAAATGTTTAATCAATTCACACATGGCTCCACTGGATCCAGAGTTAGTCAGAAGCAACCCAAATATAGTACAATGATTAACAGATCTCTTCTACGTATGGTTAGAACTGGATTCAATCCATGATACAATAACATACCTGTTTCCAGTGAAAAATGTTTTGCACAGATGTTCCAGCAGGAGAATGTGCTATATACACATCCATACGACTCTGAAATAAAACAATTGTTCAACTTATTTCCCCTAATTAATTGCATCTGCTGTATAGTAAAAATTCAGTTAGGGCTTTTCTAAATTTTTGGGCCTTTTTACATTCATGAATAGATCTTATACAATTGATGAACATCCCCAACCCAGGATACTTTCTTGTTCTGTGCAGTGCAGTAGATTTAATTTTCATAATTCAGCTGGAGTTAATTTGCTATATAGTTACTTTATATTTTGAAGTTAATTGCAAATACATCAATAGTCTTGGATGACTCTAGCCATGATGTCAGAATCCAATTATATTTCATTTCTAGCTACCTACTCTGGAAAAAAACCATTTCTTACTCTCTCTGGATTCTGTCATACTATGAAAGGGGAGGAGAATAAGCAAGAGGGTTTTATGGCTCTCACTTCCTTCATTAAACTACAAAGGACTGGATGTTGATTCTCATCAAGAGGACTGACCATAATAATATGGCCATCGCTTTTGATCTAATCTCTCTGAAGTCTCTCTTTTGCTGGCAGTGAGGGAAAAGGGGGAGGGAATAATGCAATGCCTGGGATCTGGGAAAAGATGAGGATGAGTGATTGTCGCCCGGAAGAACTGTGGGGCTGCTGTGGGGCTGCTTGGGAACATTTTAAAACATTGAAGATGGGAGAGAATTCCCCAGTTCCTGTTTAGAACGCCTGCAATAATTTTCTCTTAATAAAGATGCATGTTGGAAGAGAAATTCCAAGAGTTCTGTCTTCTTAAGATGTAAAATGAGGTGGGTCCTTACATTAGACAGGATCTGCAAAATTAGTCCACCTGGAAGGGAGAACCTTGCCGGGGGACTTTGCAAAAATTACCATGTCAGACAACGGATCAGGGAAGGGAGAAAGCCCCCCCCCCGGAGAGGGAGCCACTGCCCCGACTGAAAATCTGCCAGATGTCAGGAACTGAGAAGTCAGATTCCTCAGGAGAAGAGATGGTGGAGACACGTAATCACAAACCTCGGTGGTCAATTGGCATTGGAAAGAAAGGCAAGTGGGAAAAGAAATCAAGAAAGGTGACCCTGAGACGGGGGGCCAACCAACCAGAATGGAAGTAGGAGATGGGGAAATCCCTGTACGCAAGTGAAGAGGAAGGAAGCTGGGCACTGCACTCGAGCTGGATCCTACAGAAAGCTATCAACCTGATGAAGAGAACCCTCAGCTCCCTAGGAGGGGAGAATTCTGAGCCCTACGGCTGCACCAGCTCCTGGAGCCGCAACTGGAGAGACACCAAGGGGGAAGTGGAACCTGCAGCCACGGGGAGTCCACTGATCCAGTAGTCCCCACTCTCTGCCAACCCGCAGATGGTGATCTGGATGGAAGACAATACCACCGACAATGAAGGCATCGATCCATTCAAAGACTCCCACCGCTGGACATGAGATTCAAGGGGGAGCTGACACACTTGGGGTTTTTCCTAATCCAAGTCCTCAGATACATGGAGGAATATGGGAGACATATCCCCAGCGACAAAGCCCGTATCCGGATCCTGCAATCTGCTCTGGACGGGCCAGCCGCAGATTGGGTGGTAAACTTGCACGACTCCAATGCCTCAGAGCTCAATGACTTCAACTGTTTCATGTCCTCTCTGAAAAGGTGATTTGAGGACCCCCTGGCTGACCCCCCATGAAAGGATAAAAACTATGAGGCAAGGCAAATGCCCAGTAGCCAAATATACACAAGAAATCCGGGTCATTGCCAGCAAACTGAACTGGCTGGAAGATATCCTCCTTAGCCATTTCAAAGATGGACTAAACTACGACCTATACAACACTTGCCTGTCCTGAGGGGACCCACACCAACTTGATGAATGGTATGTCCTGGCAGAGGAAGCAGAGATCGACCTACTGAAGAGGCACCGCCAAGGAAAACAAAGTAGCCGCTCACTGCTTGAGTCGATATGTGAACCAGTGAAACCATTGGCTACAACCAAGAAGCAAATGGGGTGTTTCAAGTGTGGGAGAGAGGGGCATCAGGCTGTAGAATGCCACTCAAAAGCCCTCCAGAACAACCCAGACAGATCACCGGCCAGCAAATCTGGGAAGTCTCCAGCTAAGCCAAAAGAACCTGCCATGAGAGTGATGGAGGGGAAAGAACTCCAGCCTACACTGCAGGGCTGGTGGATGCCTCAGACAACAGCTCAGAGGGTGAACCCCTGGTAAATGGACCCATTGCACCCATCCTCACGACAGTGACTATATTAATTCCCCCATGCCCAAAGCTGTCAAGGTGAAAGCCTTAATCGACTCTGGCTGTACCCACTGCCTTATTAGCCTGACGCTAGTGGGAAACCTGGGCAGTCCGTTGAGGAGACTAGAACAACCAATCTCATTTGGCCAGTTAGACGGGTCCATAGCAGGGGGGGGGTGCCAGCTACCCTAGCCACTTTACTAATCAACCTGTCCCTGGGCAATCATGAGGAGGACATAACGTTTATGGTGACCCCAGGCATGGAATGCCCAATGATCCTAGGGATGGAATGGTTAAAGAAATGGAATCCCTGGGTGAATTGGAGGATGGCAGAAATCAATTTCCCAAAGGGGGATCCTATGAACTTAAAACCCCAAGGAGATCTACCAAAATTAAGAATGGAAAAAGCATCCATGGGAGAGGAAAAGGGGCTACCAGAAATACCAGAGGAATACAGAGATCTTGCTGAAGTTTTCAGTGAGGAGAGGGCAGATGAGCTTTCGCCCCACCAACCCACGGACTGTGCCATAGAGCAAAACTCCCAAAGCCCAGATTATACTCCATGAGCCTAAAGTAGAAGGAGGAAATGGAAAGATTCATAAAGAAAAACCTAGAAAGGGGGTTCATTGAACCTGCCAAGCCTAAAGTGGTTGCTCTGGTCCTCTTTAGAGAGAAGAAGGATGGCTCTTTATGCTTATGTGTGGGTTATAGGCTCTTAATTACAATCAGTGAAAGCAACCTATACCCCCTACCCCTCATGAAGGACATGTTATCACACCTCTCAAAAAGGAATTTTTTTTACTAAACTAGATCTAAGGGAAGCATACTATCACGTGAGAATTAAGGAAGGGGATGAATGGAAGACTGCATTTAACTGCTCCATGGGGTGCTACCAATTCAAAGTCTTGCCATTTGGATTACAAGGGGGCCCCATAGTATTTATGCAATTAATCAATGACGTACTAAGGGAGCACCTATTTAAGGGGGTCCTGGTTTACTTAGACAACATTCTTATCTTCACTGAATCAAAAGAAGAACATGTCAACCTAGTCAGAGCAGTTTTAAATAAACTGCAAGCCGCCCCCCTATATGCCAAACTATCGAAATCCGAATTCCACCAGGAAAGGACTACCTAGGTTATCGCATATCCCCACAGGGCATTGAAATGGACTTAGGAAAGGTCAGAGCAGTATTAGAATGGGCACCACCTCAAACAAGAAAGCAACTGCAAAGTTTCCTGGGTTTCGCAAACTTTTACCACCAATTCATCTCCTCATTTGTCCAGATAGCCCTGCCCCTCATGAACTTACTAAAAATGAAGGGAGCATCCTCAGTAAAACCTAGCCAGCCACTAAAATGGACAATGGAATGACAAGCGGCATTTGAGAGATTAAAGAGACTCTTTTCTGCGGAACCAGTACTGAGACACCCAGACATGGATAAGCCCTTTGCAATATAGGCAGATGCAAGTGATGTGGCAGTGGGAGCTGTTCTATTACAAGAAAACAATGAAGGGGTATTGCAACCCTGTGCGTATACATCCAAGAAAGTCACCAAAATGCAACAGCGCTGGCCTGGGTTGGAGAAAGAGGCATATGGGATACGTTGGTCATTACTCACATGGTGCCAGTTCCTTGAAGACAATAAAATCCCTTTCCAGGTGTGGACAGAACACAAAAATTTAGAAGCCTTGAAAACATTCAGGAAGCTCAACCCCAAGCACACCCGCTGGTCCCAGCATTTTCACCAATTCCACTTTACGCTCAAGCATTTGCCAGGGGGAAAAAACTTCCTGGCAGATGCACATGTCCCATATCTCGCATGCCCCAATATAACAGCATGCGAGCTACTGACTCTAAACCGATGATGGTAGAATCACAACTGGCAGCGTCAGTAACCACCAGAGCCAAGCTAAATTGAAACCACATCTGGGTAGCCAAACTGGAATTGAATTCTGAAAAAGTTTGGAAACAGATGAATGGTTCCAGAAAAATAAACATGTGTGCACAATGAAAGACGGGCTGCCTTGGGTGGGGGAAAATTATATATACCAACAACACAAAGAGTCACATTCATGCAGCTTTGCCAGGACACAAAATGTTTGTAAAAACATTGCACTTAATTAAACGGCAATTTTGGTGGCCGTCCATGAAAAAGGACATAGAAAGTTACGTGGCCAGCTGCCCAAAGTGTGCAACTGCCAAGAGGTTGCAAGGGAAATCTCCCAGACCATTACAAACAGTGGAAAATCCCTCAGCCCCCTGGAGGGAAATAGCCATGGATTTTATAGTGGAATTACCAGAAAGCAATGGGAATACTGTCGTCTGGACGATCATGGACTTGTTTTCCAAAGAGGTGCATTTTATCCCTTGCCAAGAGATTCCCACTGCAAAAGCCTTAGCAAAACTTTTTGTGCAGCATATTTACAGATGCATCATATCTGATAGGGGAGTGCAATTTACATCTGCATTTTGGAAGGAATTTTTATCCCTTTTAGGGACCACTCAGGGACTGACATCTAGCCATCATCCTCAAGGGAATGGACAAACAGAAAATTCGAACTCAGTACTTGAGCAATATCTAAGATGCTTTCTTAATTTCCAACAGTCTGATTGGATGGACCTACTCCCCTTCACAGAAGTGGCCTACAATAATGCAGTCCACTCCAGCACAGGTTACACTCCTTTTCAAATAGCTACTGGTCAAAGTTTCAACCCCATGCCAGAACTAACCCCAAATGAACCGGCGATCCCATCACTGAAAGAATGGATGGAACAATTACAAAACACCTGGCCAATAGTTAGAAAAGCACTAGATGAAGCTAGGCATGCATACAAAGCACAAGCCGATAAAAAAAGGGTTGAGCCTACACCATTCATTATAGGAGAAATGGTGTACTTATCTACAAAATACCTAAAATCCCTACAACCCTGTAAAAAACTTGGACCAAAATATATAGGGCCTTTTCCAATTAAAGGAATCATAAACCCAGTAACAGTAGAATTAGAATTACCCAAAAATCTTAGGCAAATGCACCCAATTTTTTACTGCAGTTTGCTGAAAAGAGAGCATCAGTCACCTTTATGGCCCAAAATCCCCACCACCACCTCCAATCATGGTGGAAGGTGAACAACACTTCAAGATAAAGGAAATCCTAGATTCTAGGAGATATCTTGGGGCACTCAATACCCAGTAGCATGGAAACATCTCCCTGCCTCACAAAACGAGTGGGTCCATAAATGTCATGTCAGAGCCCCGAAGTTATTAAAGAAGTTTCATACAGAGTATCCAACAAGCCAGACTAACTTTTACACCTGTTTTGTTTTCTTTACAGGTGGATCTCTCTTATTTTTAAGGGGGGCAGGATGTCAAAATCCAATTATATTTCATTTCTAGCTACCTACTCTGGAAAAAAACCATTTCTTACTCTCTCTGGATTCTGTCATATTACGAAAGGGGAGGAGGATAAGCAAGGGGGTTTTATGGCTCTCACTTCCTTCATTAAACTACAAAGGACTGGATGTTGATTCTCATCAAGAGGACTGACCATAACAATATGGACATCACCTTTCATCTAATCTCTCTGAAGTCTCCCTTTTGCCAGCAGTGAGGGAAAAGGGGGAGGGAATAATACAACGCCTGGGATCTGGGAAAAGATGAGGAAGAACTGTGGGGTGGGGCTGTTTGGGAACATTTTAAAACATTGAAGGATGGGAGAGAATTCCCCAGATCCTGTCTAGAACGTCTGAAATCATTTTCTCTTAATAAAGATGCCTGTTGGAAGAGATATTCCAAGAATTCTGTCTTCTTAAGATGTAAAGTGAGGTGGGTCCTTACAGTTATCCTGCAACTAGCCAGAAAGATAAAGTGGCAGCTCAGAATGCAGTCTATGTGCTTTGTATTTTTAGTTTTCAGACAATTATCGTTCCAGTTTGCTGACATTGGATACAAGTCATTAGTTTTTGGAACATCATAAAGCTTGATTCTTCAATTCTATTGGAATGACATTTGCTAAAAGCAACTTGGAAAGTTCTCACTTCAAATATAATGAACACAGTTACCTCTCCTTTTCTAATTCTTTCTTCCAGGAAATCTTGAAATGCAAAGGTTAATAGTAAAGCTCAACTTTGTCTTATTTAAAATTTGAGAAAAGGTTTAATCTAAGGGCTTACAAACCTTTTCTGTAAATGGCCAGATTCTATCCCCTTCCCCCTGTCTCCATGTGAGTGACTGGCAGGTCTGCAGGCTAGGGAGCACATCAGGCATTGGACAATGCTGGCCCAGCAAGGGCTCAACAGATCGCCCCCTGCTGCCCAGAATTTCCCATATTTGTCTCTTAGCTCTGCTCCAAATCCCAGAGTTTGTGACCTGCTGCCCACCCACCCATCCATGCTTAGCTCGGAGGCCATATAAAAATCAGTTGGCAGGTGAGATTTGACTTGTGGACCATGCTTTGCCTTAATTTAAGTAAAAGTTTTATTTTCCACCCGGCATTGCAAACATGTTTAATAGAAACCAAGCCTGACCCAGTTTTCCTTTATACATACCAAGTTGCAATTGGGAGTATTAGAACCAACTACAAAAGAGATTAGACGTTCGCAGATTTTAGGTTGAAAATTACAAAATGCAACCCTTAGCTTTCTCATAGACGTAGGATACTGCAAAATTCCTTTGTAGCCAAACAGTGTCTGAAATATATTGATTAATTTATTCATTAGTTAATTGGAACTGTTAGAATTAAGCCAGATCAAATATCATCCTAACGCTATATCCACTATAAACCATAAATTTAAGAAAGAAAAACTCCTTAGTTCGGGAATACACAAACTGGATCTTTGCATGCTACACATGAGTTGAAATTCGAAAAAGTGGACAAGAAAAAACAAAAGTTCATTTAATTTAGCTATTGTAAATAAAAGTATATTAATGAAATATAGGTATATGATCATCTTCACATACCATATAAGGATTTTTAATGCTTTTTTCCTAAAAACAACCTGTAGTCAGTTATGAAGTTTTTATCTTATCTTATTTTAAATATTTTTCAGCCAACTCTGGTGGCTCTCAGACATTAAAAAACATAAAATCTTTTTTTTAAATGCTTGGTTTTTTCATTTATAATATAAATACAAAAATACAAAAGAAAATATTAGGAAAATAAGAGAGAAAAAAGGAAGGGAAAGTGTGGGGCAAAAGGAAAAAAGAAAAAAAGGCATTAAATTCCAACTCTCTTTGGATGATTAACCTCCTTTTCAAGCTATGTCCACCTTTCATTACTTTACTGTTACTTTCTTTGGAATAATGCACTTGACTGTATTATGCATCAACATATCCCAAAAGCACTTACATGAAATAGTGAATTATTGAGCTTTATTTTTAATACAGGACTTGTAGCATATGTTAGTGTGGCTATAGGTCCCATTCCAAAAAAGACCTTGATTTTTTCAGCCAGTTCTGGCCAAGTAGAGAATGAGATGAAACCTGAAGAAATAAAAGATTTTGCAAAGAAAGTGGGCCTCTTCAACTGTAGAGGAGAGCAAAGTTTTACTCTAAACCAAGGGTGTCAAACTCAATTTCATTGAGGGCCACTGTGGTTGCCCTCATGGAGCTGGGTGGGTGTGGCCAGGGTGGGCGCAGCCTACTGGGTGGGCATGGCTGGGGTGGATGTGGCTTATTGGGTGGGCATGGCCAGTTTGACGTCACTCACATCAGGGTGCCTATGGGGGCCTGGGCAGGACTGGGGCAGATCCGAGGTTCTCCAGCAGAGGGGGGTGGGACCGGGGTGAGCACCAGGGAGTAGCCTCACCATCCCTCTCAGACTGTGGGGGGGGGAGCTGGAAAGTGACGCAGACTGCCTGGAGCCCTGAGCAGCAGAGGTCAAATGCCCGGCCCTCGAACTCCCATGGCACCTAGCCCAGCCCACTTCCCCAAGGGGGTGCCCAGCTGCGCTTACCTCCTCCTCAAGGCTGCTACTGTGCTCACTCTCCTTAGCCAGGTTGCTCATGGTGGGTGCAGGAGGGCAAAGTGAGTAGATCATAGGGAGGCCCACTCCTTCTCCATGCAAGGAGACCCAGCTTTGTAACTAAAGCATCCTTCATGATAGGATGGGAGACCCCCAGGATAGGCCAGGAGGAGGGGGCAAGGGGATGCAAAAAGGCAGCAGGGCAGGACTAAGGCAGGACTTCCATCAGACCCTCCCTCCCTCTCATTCCAATCTACTTACTTACTTACTTACTTACTTACTTACTTACTTACTTACTTACTTCAAAACAGAGTGGCCTGAAAATATTTGAGGTAGGGAGGGAGAAAAACAGGCAAGAAACGCAGCTGGGGAGGTGTCTCCCTTCATGAGGAATGAAGAAATGCACCATCGCCTGGAAGTGGCCAGAAAATGGCCCTCGTCTACTTCACATATCCAGCTTGGTGGGCTCCGGGGGAGGGGATGTCATGAGAAGTGTGAGAGTCGACGTTACCTGTGCAATGCCACCCAGCCCCCAGCATGCCAAGTTTTGGCAGGCAGCAGGGCGCAGGGCGCTCTCCTGCCGACAGCGCCGAGAGGATGGGCCAGGCCATGTAAATCTATCATTTCAGGGCTATCATTTCATGTTAGAACACATTGTTTACATGCAAAATTCCTAGGCTCAGTGCTTTTTTTCTAAAAAAAAAAAAAGGTGCCGGAACTCACACATGTCATACAACCCGCCTTGCCTACCCTACAAGGTTCCATCCCAAAAAGGTGCCGGAACTCCATTCTGGGCATTCTATGAGAAAAAAAGCCCTGCCTAGGCTTATCTTTCTGTAGAGTATGGCAAGACTTATTGCAAAAAACTCTTACAGAGGAAGAGCTGGGTTAGATGAGCCAAGCATTGCAAAGCGGTTCATGATTAATAGGAATTCAGAAGTTGATTTGTCACTCACAAATTCAAATTCATCCTAATTTGGCCTCCATAAAGTATTTGCCAGGAAAAATGCATTCTCAAATTGTACACAGCAAGTTGCACAATTGCAATATGTAGACTGTAATAGTTTTCCTCATTCATCCCTGCTCATAGATTTGCCTATGTAACTTACCAGCAGTTGTGCCTTCTGAATGGCCCACATAATAAAGCTGCTGCTGTTTGGTTTGGTTCAGGATAAAGTATATGGCTGCTGGAATATCATAGTATCCCATCTCATGAAAACTAGGAAGAAAGCAAGCAAGCACATGGCTTTATAAATGCTCAGAAATTAGCTCAGCTAATCACATGGAAAGGACCACAGGGTAAAAAGCTGTAAAGGTATTCATACAAGTGTAAGAAGGATTTTAGAAGATGTAAATGAAGATCAGTTTGTTGGGAAAATTTAGGAGAAAATAAGAGGATCCTAGATTACAGATCTTGTTGAACTAATATAGCTAGATTAATATCAGCCCAGAACCTAATCTAGATTCACTGAATATAACTAGATTGAATATAATTAAAATCTTTGCTAGCAAGGTTGAAAGTCTATCTAAGCATTGCTGAACACACACGCTGTCTTTGCAGCCAGAGCATGTTTAGTAAGGAAATGTTTCAGAGTCCTTTTTTAAAGCCAGGAAAAGCAAACAACAGACAACTGTTCTTTCTGCCAAATGAAAATAAATAGCATTGGCTCCTTTGAATTCCATCATTACATTTCTCCCAGATAATGTTAAATATTTAAAAATTAAAATAGTTAAAATATACAAATTCATATAATGGTCAATTGCATAAGTTAGCAAATACATTTACATTATTTATCACTAGATAGTGCAGCATTAAAATAATGTTCTCTTCAGGTGCTCTTCTGGACCTAGTCTTAGTGTTCTCTGGAAGCAAATGGTCAACAATCACTCTGTGTGTGATAAGTATAGGAAATCAGCACCCCTCCTAGAGAATGAAATATTTGGGGGAATATTAAAAAAGGCAGGATAGAATATTTCCCCTAAAAGAGAAATGGAGAAAAATCTTAAAAGCAGAAAGCTGCCCCAGTCTTAATAGCCTCAAGCAGAAGCCTCAAGCGAAAGCCTATTAAGAAAGACTGGGTTTATCTGTTCATAAACAAAATGCCTTCAGCCCCCACAGTTGATGGGATTAAGAATTTACATTCCCCCATCCAAATTCTAAGGACAGGACATGACCTTTAGAACATAATAGAATTAATCCATCATCATTAGAATAGCAAAAGGCACAAGGCTCACTACATTGCACAACCTCCTGGACCATCTCAATCAGATCCATCCATTTGTTCAGCCATTTTAATTCTGTTTTATTATTTTTATTTTATTTATTATTGGAATACGCTTAGTAGATGGAAACCCCAGAGATCAGTTTTCATCCCTGGTTCTACTTTATATTCAGTTCAATTCAATTCAGTTCAATTCAATTCTTATCTTTTCAAGTCAGTCTTGATTCCAAGCAACTGCCTGGACAAGTCCCTGAAGTTTACTTGGCAAAATTTCAGAAGTGGTTCACCATTGCCTGTACTCTGGAACTAAGAGAGATTGACTGGCCTAAGGTCACCCAGCTTGGTTCGTGCCCAAGATAGAATTAGAAGTCATAGTTTCCTGGTTTCTAGCCTGATGCCTTACCCACTACAACAAAGTGCCTCCTGCTTCTATCTTTTTAAGTTAATAGTTAAGCATCTGATATCCCTTTTAGATTTTCTTACCTAAAGCTCCAGAATTCCTTCTGCCATGGCTTCAGTATCTTATGATTTGAAGACCAGGTGTTTCCTCTGCTATTTCCAAGCCAAACGTCATAACCATTATCTGCTAATATGAAACCAAAACTGTTGTGCGGCTGGTTAGAAATCCAGTGGGAACCATCTCCAACGACACCATGTAGCAAAAACACAACAGGTCGTGCAGCTGTAAAATGAGAAGAGATGCTTTTTTAATGAGCCAGATCATTGAAGATTGCAAAACAATTGAAGTATTAGTTGCAAATAAATCTTGCAAAGAATCAACATTTGTGGTACATTGTCACAATCTATTGTTCAAAATATGGTAGGTGACGGTGACTGAAATGAAAGCATGATCATTGCATGTTTAAATCCATAGAATTTAGGAACCGAGATTTTATTGATTCAATGGATATACTCTATAAACATACCCAAATCCATTCCTTTGTCTCCAACATTATGATATATTCTCAACAGTACCGTGATATAATCTCCCAATCTAGATACACCTTTGAAAGTTTTTTAAAAATCTTCACTGTTTATTTTGAAACATTTCACGAGAAGCTTCCATTGGATCCTAAAATATTCTTTAATAGACAATTCTACAGATGTCTTCTTAAGAGATTATTTTCCTGAATTCTTGACCTTTTTCCATTATAAATGATACAGGATTTCAGTTAAGATCATGGATAAAAAAAATAACTTCAGCAATTAGAATCCAGATGAGAGAGAGATAGTTTGCTGTTTTGTTATACCATTCTTGTTTTTAAAAATTGTTTATTGAAATGAGGAGTGTAAGATTATCAAAATCTCAATTAATCTGTCAGTCGGTCTCTTCTAAGATATTGAAAGGAGAAGGTTACAGTACAATTTCTTGTAATACCAATACTAATGTCAGTTTTCATTCTGAAAATTTTACATTTCATTTTGAAGAGCTATATCATTCCACTTCAATTATTGAAAAGTATTTTCAGCCATATTCGGTAAGAATGTTGCATAAGGTCATAAAGGCTAGACAAGAGTAGAATAGTTCAGGTTCACTTCCGGTTCTGGATCACGGTGCTCCTAGTTGCACGAAGAGACTCGTCTCCTCATCAGCTAGTTTCCCTCCGCTGGTAGACCCTTATGCCGGTTTAAAGTCGCCCTGGAGGGTGCGACTTCTGTCAAAGAGGCTTTGCTCAGCTGTGGAGGAGTGGCAGCTCCTCCAGCTGTCCAGGCTAACTCTGAGGGCTGACAGAGAAGAAGATCAGCCAGTAAAATGGCCGATCACCTAGCCGCTGGAAACCGCAAGTCAAAGAACAGAATCCAGGTGAGACTTTTTTTTTTGTTCCTCTCTTCATTTTATTTTGCGCTTTTTTTTGCCTGTAAGAGCCCTGTTGGAATTATTTCCCTGGCTTGGAAAAGCAGATTCTACATGTTGGGGAAGAAAGGCGATCAAAAAAATAGAACAAAATTTTAAAGACTACATTTTTTTTACACATTTTGGGGTACTGAAAATTTTTTTTTCCTAAGAAGTGTATTATCAGTCTATGTTGTCATTTTTTTTTGGGGGGGGGGAGAGTGGTATTATTCTCTTATATTGGAAGAGTATTTCTTTCTCCACTTTTTCCTTAAAAAATAGAAAAAAGGAAAAATAAAAATGATGACTCTTGAAAAAGATTTCTTAGCTTTCTGAGGACATCTACTGGTTAAAAGCTAATATTGTAATTGTTGACTATTTGGAGATGAGATAGTTTTGGCCTTCAACTGTTTTCTAAGAGAAAGATAATTTGATGCAGCTGAACACTTATTAAAATGGAGCTGCATTCATATTTAAATTGTAAACTTATTCTGGAAAAGATCTATGAGGCTAAATAAGAAATATGTGCTACAATGAAAGAGTTTACTACAGAATTAAGAGCCAGAATCTCTCCTTTAAACTTCAAAACTGACTTTCAGATTACACCTGATTATTCTAATTATTCAGATTACACAAGAAGAGGACCTAACTGAGAATAAAGAGAAATTGATTTTGCCTTATAAGCAGTTCAGTTATGATGTTGAGGACCAGAAAAAGCAAAGACTGAGACTTGAAATGTTAAAGCAATGAGACTTTATGGTTAAGAGAAACAGGGTCAATGCAGAGGCCAAGATGGTTTTCACTGATCCAAATGATACTATAAGCAATAAAGAGAGACTTATCAGCTGGAAGGGAAGCTCTGCTATGGAAACCTACCTGGCATAAGATGAAGCCCAGAATAAGACTGAAAAGAAATGAAATTTAAAAATTTATGTAATGGATTAAAGGCAACCTAGAATTATGGATGATTTAAGGACTAAGATTATGACCTAGATGTAAGAGAAATGGGTGACCAATGGAAGATATATAAGATTTATCTATATGAAAATTACTATTTCTAATAAGATGATTTATTAGTTTGATGCCCAATGGATTGAAATGATTTAAGATTTGATATTATCTTGTCAGCTTAAAGAGATTGATTGATGGATTAGATATGGTGATTAATGGAATATATATTAAATTGATTAAGAATGTGGGTTTTTTTAGGACGATAGGTTTACTTGTAAGAAAATTACTATGCAATGTTGAGTTAATCTAATAAGACGATTTCTTTGTTTGATAACATGAATGTTATTAGTTATGACAATTAATTGGATGAAATTTGAATTCTGGCTAATGGATTGAAATGATTTAAGGTCTGATTTTCTTCTGTCAGCTTAAAGAGATTGATTGATTAATTGATGGATTAGATATGTATAGGATAGATTAATATTTTATTTTAATTAAGGGATATTAGTGGAAGAAGAAATAAATAAGAATTATGATAAAATTAAGGAACTAGAACTTATTTGGAAGGGATATCCGAATTGATAATGTTTGTACTTAAAGTTAATTTGATTATGGTAGTGTAAATTTATAAAGCTTTAAAAACAGGTATAGGTTGAATAAATTTAAGCTAGAATTGGACTATTTTAAATAAATTATGTTACTTAAGGGAAAAAGAGAGGGAATACTTGATACACTGATTGAATTATGTATATACATTTTGTCTTGGATGTTTGATTACCCTAACACCACAGTGTGTCTTGAGCACTTTGTCTTAAAAATAAAAAAAACAATAAAATTTGTTTTAAAAAAAGAGTAGAATGGTTCAGCAATTCAGATAGGAAGAGAAAAAGGTGCTTCTGCAGGTGTGGAATATAAAGGTAGCCTCTTTGCCATTTCTTAAACCAGATTGCAATTGGATGTTATTTGACTTGCCCACGGTCTTACCTTTACTTGCAGCATTATACCTTCCATGAGGTATTCTGTTAATGGTAAGTATATATCCATCTTCTGTTTCAACATGATATTCCTCACTTGGATAGTTATGAAAATGGATAATCTCACTCTGTTGGTAGAAAGAAAACAGAGCAAACTTGTTTGCAGATATATTTTCTGAACATAAATGAGCAAACAAGATGATAAATACTACAGAAATCTCAGGAATATTCCACTTTCATGACCTCCAACTTCAGGGAGGTTGCCAAAATTTGGACCTTCAAGAGGTGGAGCATAAGCAAAATCAGATTTATTTGTTGCGGATCCATCCCCAAAGTCAATGGAATGAAAAGCTGTTTTAAGAATATTGATAATCTTTTGAAATACTTTGAATGATACAGACAAAAATAAATGCTAGGGTTTTTTTTTTTCATTAGGAGAAATAAGAATCTCAAATGCCTTTAATAAGTGTGTCTTTTGACACTATGTAGAGTACAGAGTCTTGCATTGACCCTGGAGGTAATTTTCAGGTTTTCTTTCTGTGTAGATGGAATTGTTTTACACTTGCAAAGTTCTTACTCTATGCTTGGTGCAAGGGCTATCAGAAATAAGTCTTTAAAATTTAAAATATGAAATAAAATTATATGCTTGGCCTGTGATATGACTGGCAAACAATTTAATTTGCAGGGCTCCTCATTAGGGGCTTAGAACTTCAGATTTGGGTTATGGTGGTGCTGGAAGTTATGATCTTTTCTCAGAAAAAATAAAGTACATTTAGTCATCACCTCTAACTCCCGCTGTTTTCTGTAAAAATTATTTGTTTGGGGAAGCTTCCTATACAAACTGTGTCTATTATTACATATCTTGCTTGGTTGTGTATATAAAAAAGACTTATGATCTTTGAAGCATCCCCATGATTATGTGATCAAAATTCAGATGTTTGGCAACTGGTTCATATTTATGACAGTTGCAGTTTCCTGGGGTCGTGTGATCTATCCCCTTCTGACAAGCAAAGTCAATGGACAAGCCAGATTCACTTAACAAACAGGTTACTAAGTTAACAACTGCAACGATTCACTTAACAACTGAGGCAAGAAAGGTCATAAAATAGGGCAGAACTCACTTAACAAAAGTCTCACTTAACTACAGAAATTTTGGACTCAGTTGTGGTCGTAAGTGAAGGACTACCTGTATATGTACCATCTTGATACCATCTGATCATAAATTATTGACGAAAACCAGTTGGGTGACGTCACTCTCACTTATTCTTTCAGCCCAGCTCATTTCACAGAGTAGTTGTGGGGAAAATAAGAGGGAGAAAGAGTATTAGATATTTTTGTTGCCTTCAGTTATTTATAAAAATAGAGGTTTGATAAAAAAAACTAAATAAAAATTTAAAAAATGTTCCTGACTTTGCTTTTCTCCCCTTATTTGGTGATTTTTATATTGTATAAAATAGCATATAGCCTTAAAGATTTCTACATCACACTGGAGTAAATAGAATAAACAATTCTTTGAAGGCTATAGATTTGGTGTGATGCTTCTTTTGCATTTCCTTTATGTATCAAAATATAACAGTTAAAATGAATTTAACATACAATATTCATAAAACATTCAGGGTCCACTTTATAGTTTGTGTTACGTCTTTCTGAAGTTTCCAATTCTTCCAAGCTGAGCATTCCATGGCATAAATAAGCCATTATTATGAAACTCCTCATCTTCATCCTGTAGGAAGCAATTCAGTCATTCATTAACATTTTAGAAACACGAGCTTCCTGAAGATACAAAGCACCAGTAGCTCTGAAATATCTTCTGCTATATGTTACCTTAAGCAGAAACAGGCCATTGAGCAGAATTTTACCAATTTGAATATGGCTTCAATCTGAATAGTGCTGAAAAATAATTAAATTTACTTCAACAGTGGATTAAACAAATAGGTAGCAAGGATCTGCATCAAGATTAAGCAACAGACAAGCCTACTGGCTAGTATCTCTGTCTCATATTCCCACATTAGCTGTTTCACCTATTATATCTCCAATTTTAATTAAATTATATGAAAACAGACTCTAGGATGAACTTGCCAACCGATCTGCTCAGCTTCCATTTGGATTGATTCCCAACTGTTGAATTTTAATAATGTAGATTTTGCCAAAGATAGTTGCATTCCATAATCTTAACCGAATGGGGTTATGAGTTTTGTACAGTGGTGACTTGGTTCTCATTGTTAATTGGTTCCAGGAGGCATGTTGAATAGCAAAAATAATGAGGATCAAACAGTTTTTTCCCGTAAGGAATAAGGCAGCTGAGACTGACAAGTTCTGGTTTGTGTATAAATAAATGATGAATAATGGAACAAAATTTTTACATCAATATCCATTGAGTACCAAATTCAATGAGTTTCAAAGCAGTTAAACATCAGGTTCTACTGTATTTCAATGCATTTGTAGGACATTAGACCATTACATTTTAGTTAAACTTTTCTTAGTCAGGCTGTTAGCATATACTATTTGTCCTGTTTCAGATTCTAATCACACATAAACACAGTTGCAATGGAATTTTACATTTCATTTCAAAACTTTAGAGATAAACAGTGAACAAAATATGTAAACAAAACAGGATCTTGCCTGAAAAGTTTGTTTTTTTATAGAAGCATGCAGAAGATGAATCTAAATCCAATCAAGGGTCCAAGAACCAAGTCAGGGTTGTCATCCAGTCCAAAGATCAAAGGTTCCAGGTTTCTTACAGAAATAGGAGCCACACATGTGTATCATAGAAGAGCTAAAAGAACTTTGCTGAGCTGATCTCTTCTCTACTTATTGAGTCTCAGTATGGGAGGTTTATGGGAGGATGGATGGGAGGGTACTCTTTCAACTTGTCATAAATTTCTTTAATAGCTGCCTTGCTCTAATTCCATATGCAGATTCTTTGAACTTTGCAGAGAAATGGATAAATGAGAATTGACTGTGAATTAATGAGCACTGGGTATTAATTGGTCACATTAACTTTTGGGAAGTTGGGAGTGGCTGGAAAAAGAGGACTGGAATTTTGGTTGACAAATCCATAGCTCTCCAGTTATTAAACCATGGTACCATATTTCCTCCTCACAGCCTTCACCAGTAGGAATATTGGTTTTGGTCATGTGAAGTTCTAATTCAACAATATCTCCAAGTTGCTTTTTTCAAAAGGTAACTGGACTTGGTTTTCCTTGAAGACGTTTTGCCAGATCTGCCCCAGTGAGATCCCTTAGGAAAGAAAGACCGTCAACTCCATTTAAGTAAAGTGATAGGTTCCTTTACTAAAGGTTCCTGGTTGCAGTAAAGTTAGACCAGAACTAAAGATTCCCATACAAAAGGTTACAAAATGTTTCCCTCCCCCAGCCCTCCCCCTTTTGATCAGTTCATCTTCAGCTAATGGAAAGTCATCTAACTATTTTGAATATCAAGATGTTTGGAGCGATCCACATTCCATTCCCAGGGTGCATGGTCTTGAGTACTGGCACAAACCGGTTTTATGCTGCCCTGGTCTTTCTCAAGCTGTCATTTTCCCCTCCCCATAAATGTTTATTGCCCATTTGTCCATCTTGCCCCCTCCCCCCTAATTCTTGATGTTAGGATGCTGGCAATGCAGCAAGCTGAAGATGGCAGAACTTACATTCTGCTTCCACCCCCTTGTCAGAGTTGTTAGTCCTGTAAAGGAAACAAAAGAGAAGGGGAAAAAACAAACACAAATACATAATTAATCTGACAGTTACTGAGGTTTATCTAGGTATTATTAATGGCTTTTGTTAAGTAGTTTGGAACACACTCAATTACAGAGGGAGGGAAGTCCTTCCATGACACCAAATACTGGGTTTTGCCTTGATGCGTGCGAGAGTCCAATATACCCTTGACATCAAAAAGTTGCCCTCCTTTGATCATGATGAGATCAGGAGGAAGTTTTATTTCTGGGCATAGGGAAGAAGTGATTTCCAATTTTAGAATGCCTCAGTGGAATACCAGATAGACCTGCCTAAAAGAGTTTTTGGTAATTCAAATTCAAGAGTCACAGGATTAATAACCCTATTGTCAACAATGTAAACATTAGATGTTTCCGCTCTGACAACTAATGAAAATCACATCCATTTTCTCTTTTTGCTTTTAACATGCCTTTTCTTCTATTTAGAGATTAGGTGCAGAAGGGGGGTTGGGATGAATGCTGAACTCAGCTAGCCATAATAATAAACGGTGTGGGAACCCAAGGATGAATTGATAATGTTTTGGCGGCCTGAGGAGCTGGGGAGAAAAGCCCACATTTCAGACTAATTGGAGAACGTGATTTATGACTGCTTGTTGGGGGTGGGAGTTGCAATTTGTTACTTTGAATCCGGGGGAAAAGAAACCAGTTTTGTGTTCAACTATGTAGTGCCGATACTTTGTTTCCTGAATAAAATGTTCTTTAAGGAAGAATTCTTGCCTTGAGATTCTTTTGATAGGTTTCATCTATCGGAATCATGAGACCTTTTTATGTGGAAAGGGCCAATGTACTTTGGACCTAATTTTTTTGGAGGGTTTTCTAGACTGCAGGTATTTGGTGGACAGATAGACTTTGTTCCCAAAGTCTTTTGGCGTTGAACCCTTTTTGTCAGCTTGTTTAGTATATGCTTCCTTGCCTCCTCCAGAGATTTTCTAACTACTGGCCAAGTGTTTTATAATTGTAAAGTCCATTCTTTTAAGGTGGCAGTTGGTGGGGTAGCCTGGGGCAGTTAGAGGATAAATACTAAATCCTGTCCCATGGCCACCTTAAAAGGAATGAATCAGTGCTACTGTAGACTGAGTTATTGTAAGCAATCTCAGCCAAAGGAACGAGATCCACCCAGTTGTCCTGTTAATAGTTAATGTAACACCTGATGAATTGTGCCACAATCCCATTCGTATGTTCATAGGCCCCATTCATTTTTGGATGATGTGAGCAGCTAAGGCCCTGGGTGGTCCCCAAACGTTTTAAGAACTCTTGCCAAAACTGCGAAATGAATTGGACTCTGAGATCTGAGATTATTCTTTCTGGACCTCCGTGCAGTCTATATATATACTGCATGAACATTTTTGCCAAAGTGTGATAGAAGGAATTTCTGGGAAGGGCACAAAATGCACTTGCTTAGAGAATAAGTCAATTATCACCCAGTTCACCGTATTTACTGAACTGTCGGGTAATTCTATGATAAAGTCCAATGAAATCTTCTGCCACTGTCTTGAGGAGGCCTGGTGTTTTTCTTTGCTGCCTTTTGGCAGAGGCATAGGTAAGGTAGCTAGCCACATAGCTTTCTATGTCTCTCTTTAGTGATGGCCACCAAAACTGGTGTTTAACCAAGTACAAGGTTTTGACAAAGCCAAAATACCCTGCTATTTTTGAATCACGGATTTTCTGTAGGACTGTTAGTAATTGGCTTTCAGGGATGTATAATTTGCACACCCACCCATGCTGAGCAATCTTGCATCATGTACTCATTCCCATGAGCTTGGAACCACTTATCTTTCTGTAGTGCTGCTTTTAGGGCACTCCTTAAGTTCTCTGCTACTTGGGTCTTGAGTTTCGCTTGTGCCCTAGTGGTGACTGGAGCTGCCAGTTGCTGGGATGGGATAACCAATCTAATTAACCCCGGCATGGAGCTGTTGCATTGTGGCAGTCTAGGTTGAGCATCTGCTAGGAAATTCTTCCCCCTGGGAGGTACTGCAGGGTGAAATTGAATTGGTTGAAGTACTGAGCCCAGTGGACCTGTTTGGGTGATAGTCTCCAGTTATTTTAGGGCTTCTAAGTTTTGTGGCCAGTCCACACTTTAAAGGGGGCTTTGCCCCCCTTCAATAAATGCCTCCTGGTCAGAAGTGCCCAATACACCACATATGTTTCTTTCTCCCAAACTGCCCACCTGCGCTTATTTTTGATGAGCTTTTTGGATGTGTATGCACATTGCTGCAGAACCCCTCATTTGTTCTTCTGTAGCACCACTGCCCTCTCCCCCACATCATTCGCATCTCCTTGGGTCAGGGTGTTTTAGAATCATCTCTGCCGTGAACAGGCACTTGAATTTTTTGAATGCTGCTTGGCATTCCATTGTCCATTTCAATGGCTGGCTAGGTTTGGGCTTCGCCTCCCTTTTTGTCTTCAGTAGGTTGATGATGGGGAGGGCTATCTGGGCAAATGATGGGATGAATTGGTAGTAAATGTTCATAAATCCCAGGAAGCTTTGAAGCTGCTTCTGAGCGTAGGGAGGAGTCCATTCCAGAACTCCCCAGGATCCATCTCTATCCCCTCGTGGGAAATGCAATACCCTAGATCATGTGACTTGTTGCGACATATCATGACTTTTTTCCATTGCTGGCAATGTGGCG